TGGGGTGAGGTCGAAATCATGTTCGGATAAATCTTTCCATTGCAAATAAAATCATGTATCTGTGACGTAGGCCTAAGCGAGCCAAAACGTAGGCCTAAGCGAGGCACTGACCCTCCAACTAACTTGCCCATGACTTAGTTTTCTAGGGATATCTAGGGATTTCGGGATTACATATATTTATTAGGAATTACAGATGATTACAGATGATTACAGATGATTACAGATGATTACAGATGATTACAGACGATTACAGACGATTACAGACGATTACAGACGATTACAGACGATTACAGACGATTACAGATGATTACAGACGATTACAGATGATTACAGATGATTACAGATGATTACAGATGATTACAGATGATTACAGATGATTACAGATGATTACAGATGATTACAGATGATTACAGATGATTACAGATTACAGATGATTACAGATGATTACAGATGATTACAGATGATTACAGATGATTACAGATGATTTACAGATGATTACAGATGATTACAGATGATTACAGATGATTACAGATGATTACAGATGATTACAGATGATTGATTACAGATGATTACAGATGATTACAGATGATTACAGGTGATTACAGATGATTACAGATGATTACAGATGATTACAGATGATTACAGATGATTACAGATGATTACAGATGATTACAGATGATTACAGATGATTACAGATGATTACAGATGATTACAGATGATTACAGATGATTACAGATGATTACAGATGATTACAGATGATTACAGATGATTACAGATGATTACAGATTACAGATGATTACAGATGATTACAGATGATTACAGATGATTACAGATGATTACAGATGATTACAGATGATTACAGATGATTACAGATGATTACAGATGATTACAGATGATTACAGATGATTACAGATGATTACAGATGATTACAGATGATTACAGATGATTACAGATGATTACAGATGATTACAGATGATTACAGATGATTACAGATGATTACAGATGATTACAGATGATTACAGATGATTACAGATGATTACAGATGATTACAGATGATTACAGATGATTACAGATGATTACAGATGATTACAGATGATTACAGATGATTACAGATGATTACAGATGATTACAGATGATTACAGATGGTTACAGATGATTACAGATGATTACAGATGGTTACAGATGATTACAGATGATTACAGATGATTACAAAAAAGACTACAGTTTTTTCCATCCCCCGAGGACCTGGATCCAATCCGCTCAGTGCCGGACCCACAATCGCACGATGGTTGGCACGTCGTTTTCCACATCGGCATGCTGCCAGCGGCGCGCGATTTCTCGAAAAATCGACCCGAAATGTTCCGTTGCCACGATGACCAGGCGAATTGTGCTTGTATGATTGGTGTGAAATAATGTACATATCTATTAACCATTATCATGTGAATTGTAAGTGCAACATTTCCTACAGAATTGTTGATAAAACATCAGCCAGTGATTGGTAAATATATCGTGGTCCTCTCAGGACAACTAGTGAACTTCACTTAAACTAGGCATGCCAGGCCGGGATGACAACTCAGAGTTACTTGACTTCAAACTCAAAGGGCCGTGCTGATTTGCTAGTGGATGAGGTTTCCTAAGATAGGGGTTCCCCCAGTCATCACCCATTTCAATAGGATTTTCTATTATAAACCATCAATTCAGTGGTACGCCCATTTATGGAAACCCCCATATGCTCAAGATAGTGCATCCCGGACATCGGAAGTGGCCAACAACCACATGGTGGTTTACACAGTTCGATCAGTGGGACATGCCCCCACCTATTTTTCCAGAAGTCGTACAGTAAACGGAGTTATATCATGGTAGCTATATCATGGTATATCAATATGTTCTGCTGAACGTCTTGCTTGTCGTTAATCATCAATTTCCAAACGATATAAACAACATAGACATAGACGATACAAATACGAAAAGTATGACAAACATGAACATAGCTTCGTTGCCTGAAAATAATCGGACAACTCCCCAATTTCCATGGTCTAAAACACCTCTTTCTCCAATCGATGACCTGCCCCTTTTTTGGGGGGCTCCATTTTACCCCGACCACGTCCCCGACCTGTCTTCGGAAGAGTCCCCGGAGGAGCACTCGACGGGAGAGATGCAATGCATCCTCGAGCCGTTACCGGAAAATCCCATGAAAATCCGCCATGTGTTTTTAAAAATATATGTTTTGTTCATGCTTTTACAGGGACATCATGAAAATCCATAAACATCAATGAACACCAGCGATGTTTGTCTTAGTTTCACCATGTTTATATTAGAGTATTAGCTATAGTGTAGCTATATCATGTTATATCATGTTATATCCCCAGGTTCTAAGCCCCATGAATAGCAGTTCGTTACATCCTCCAACCCAAACGAATTCGAGTGAACTGTGCGTCAACTTGGCTATCGTAAACGGCGGCCTCAGCTTTATAGCTAAGTTGGCAAACACGACTGCAAGAACTAAGGCTTGGTAGATAATAAACTGGTTGGTGGTTTCAACTCCTCTGAAAAAATAGTCAATTTGGATTATTATCCCAATATATGCACAAATAAAAATGTTCCAAACCACCAACCAGTAAATCTAGTGATAGTGGTGGATATTAAGCAACAAACACAAGATTTTTTCTTCAACCAGCCAATCGCCGATTTTTTTCCGAATTTTGAGGGTCAAATCATCAGGTCTCTCTTTGGTTAATGCTGATGCTTAATGGTAAACCAACAGTTTGTGAACTGGAAAATCACCATCTTCAGTAGGTAAATCAACTATTATTAGTCATGTTCAATTTTTCAATAGGTAACAAATTGGTTACAATGTGAGGCCCCCAAGATAGCTAAGTTGGTTTATAACTCCAGTAACTATGGTTTATTGTACTTATATATAGTTAATGGATGTTAATGGGGTTTATAAACCAACTTATAACTGGGGGGGCACCACCTTGTACCAGAGGGTAATATCTTCCATCCCATCAGATTCTGAATATTGCACCTCGGTGAGCGGAACGTGCTGCAGCAATGGCAGGTCCAAATCTCCTCCGATGTGCGAGGACGTGTTGTGTTGTTGAATCGTTGAACCACTCCCATCATGAAGCCAAAGAAAATTAACTTATGAATACATACCTATACCATCATATACCCCATGTGCTTCATGTGTGGTATATTTGCCTACAAAACTGGGTGATTTTGGACAAGGGCAAATGTTGGTAAATATTCCAGCACCATGGAGCAGATGGGTACTAGAGATTCCCATGTATATCATATGCGTTTGTTGAACTGTAAATCAATTAGCATATGTTGCAATAAAAGTAACAACTCATGAAGAATATGTGTGCCAAAAGTAGAAATGAGGTACAGTAGCAGCAACAAGCGGCAGGTTCACTCCAGAGAAAATGTGGCATGGTATCCATCACAATTTTTGGTTAGTCGAACAGCCGCCACACTTGAAAAAAACCGCCATGCGTTAAGTTGTGATATTGAATTGAACCATGTCATATACGGATATAGAAAAAAAAAGGTCACTGGTCACTGTGTCACTATAGAAACCATACATATAACATATATTTGTGCATTTGTCTAGGGTTTTACATTGATGTGCATCCCCGGGATCGTTTATTTTTTTTTGGAATATGCATATTACAAGCCAGTTAGATTAGTGATCAGTGCGATATACCACTCTCATGGCCCCTGGGTTACCCTGCTTTCGTAAACTCACATAGCTATGGAAAGCATTGCCAACAGCTGCTTCGATAAATTACCTGCGAACAATTTAATGTTCCAAAGCTATGTAACAAAAGTACAAGAGAGTAAATCCACCATGAAATCCCATTATCTGAATCTAAATCATCCATTTGTTGATACTTCTTGATGGCTAAACTTTATTATCCAGTGAATTCAGTAAAATCAGCCATTAAATCCCTCAAAAAATCATGGACCAGGTCATGATATTTCTTGATGCTTAAACTACTAATCCTTAGTTTATCTGGGTATGAGTCAAAATTGGGTACCCCAATAATAGTTAGATGGTTAATACTAAGAATAGGCTAAAATCTGTGGTCCCAGGTCTTCAACTTTGACCCAACCCCATCTAACGTTTACCTTAAAGGGTATGATGACCGAATCGAACTCCACATCTCTCACCGTGTCATCGCGAATCCTGAATCCCAAGGGCACTCGGCTACTTGCCAATGCTCCCCACGCCGTGGGCAGGTCTCCTGAAGTCAACCAAGGGCAGCAAATATGGGTTGACTGTACTGGTTTGAAGCGATAAACTTCATGTGTTTCTTGATTCGGAGGGATTGAACTAATTAGTAGAGCTCAGGATTCAACCATCTGAAATGGATGAATGGTTCTTGGCAGCTGCAGTCTCTGGGGTCAAATGAATCTCTATTGATTTAAATGCAATTACGCGCTTATGATTTGCAGCCTTGAAGAAACTCTGGCCGTTTTCACAACCACAATTTCGAGCTCTTTCGGAGTTCTTCCGAATGACTGGCAACCTCTTGGAGGTTTCAACATGTCTCCGCAGCATGTCGGCTGAAACGTTTTATCCGAAAGCAGTCAAACTTCCCTGCAACTCGCGAGGACGCAACTTTTCTTCTGAAATTCGTTAGCGTTCAGGACCACCGGCTGTTGGCAGTCCCATTTTGCACCGGGCAGCACGTGTGTCAACAACGACATCGATCTTGGAAAGATGGTCTGCAGTAAAAACACAAAACATCTCCGCTTCAAAGTGGCGTCCTCCTGTTATAAGTTTATTAGTTGTTTGGCTTACGACCAACAGAAAAACTATATGTAGATACTGTATATCATTAAATATATATATATGATGTATCATGATATATCTATCGTACACCCAATCGTTCTTGGAATACTGTTGAAGCAAACATATCATGTATCGTGATATATCCATCGTACACCCAACGGTTCTTAAGGAGTAATGTTGAAGCAAACTATTCGCGAACGTGCCAAGCACCTGGGTGTAGGACCTGACCTCACGACACATGTGCTCAGCCCGCCAGCTGTGTTGAATCAATGCGCAGCGCTCAGTGACAGTCGAAGACACCATCGCCGATAAACTCGCGCAAAAGCCTCGGGGCTGGGCGCGCCACCAGGTGGGGCAACCAGGTTTGCTAAAGTGGTAAACATAATTTCAATAACTGTTGATTTTACGGCATACTATGTATATAAATATCCATATATCTACAAATATATATATATATATACAGTATATTAAGTGTGTATATATATATATATCGAACTAGATAACGGTGGCTATAAACCCAATATCGCTATATACACCAGTCGTTGGAGTAAGGGGCACCACACATCCCCATGACATTCCAGTCAGATTGGGACCAAAATTGCAGGGATTTCACAATAAAATAAGCCTGAGAAAAGATGTGTGAAGTGCGGTTGGATGTGAACATATACATGTTCTTTCAAATCTTGTCATTCAAGAAAAACAAAACATGACAATGGGCTCATTGAAACCTGGCTGAAGATAGTGTATATTATATATATATACAATTATATATAAGTATATATAATATGGATATAAAATAATATAAATATAATACTATATGCAGTGTTGGCTGCCCTGTAACGACTGTGATGACATCTCTCCTTTCTATTCCTTTCTGAGATTTTTAAATGAAGGTCATGAGACAACATGTCAAAGCTGGGACTTCACATCTTCAAATCATATCTGGTTGGTGGTTTTAACCATCTTGAAAAATATGAAAGTCAATGGGAAGGATTATCCCATATATTAATATATATTATGGAACAATAAAACATGTTTGAAACCACCAACCAGATATGATGAGTTTGTCTGAAACGGGTATACTCCTAATTTTGAGTCAATCGTCGTGAATCGTCATGTTTTTTCTCGCACAAAAAGCAACCTATTCGTTTATCGAACGCATTTCAACAAATTCAACTCTACAACAAATAAATCATTCGCAACAATCCAAATCGTTCTTCAGTAAAACCCTCATGTGTTCACCACTTTCACCAAACTCATTAGCTAAATCTGGGTACAGTAACTTATAATAGTTCACCAAAACAAAACATGGCCATTTGGGGATGATTCCCCTTCCCAACCATGATTCCAGGGTTCGGTCACGACGTGAGGTCACGAACATGTTTTTACCCAGCTATAGAAATCCCATGTTTTTTCCATAAAACCCTCCTGTTTTCACCCATGTTTCACCATGGTTCCACCTTGACGTTTCCGCTGACGAGCCACGCTTGCCCAGGCGTGTGCTCGGGCGGCCAAGTACTGAAGCACTCCAGCAGATTTAGCACGTCTTGAGCCTCGATGAGCCATGGTGAGCCATGGATCATGGATGAAAGGCACCCGATATCGACCAGTTCACCTCATCAAGAAATGTTACCCTCTGGTAAACTAACATAGCTATGGAAAATCACCATTTTTAATGGGAAAACTCACTATGTCTATGGCCATTTTCAATAGCTATGTTAGTTTACCAGAGGGTAGTCTTTTTTTGAATGGTTTCGCTGGAAGCGAAGCAACATATGAAGATTGAAGCATGAAAGGTCATGAAACCCGCACCTCACATTCGGATCTAGATGTGATTTATGATGGATCAGTTTGTAAACATATGGATATATGGTTCAAACCGCAACCTGCCTTGGCATAGGTTTCATCATCTGCAGGTACCTGAGTGGCGGTGCTGACTCGTAAGACGTGGGTATCCCCATTGATGGTTGGTTATCCCTCCCATCGATATGCATAGATATCCCATGAAAATGGTACCCTCGGATAAACTAAGATAAATATCGAAAATGGCCATTTATAGTGGATTTACCCATTAAAAATGGTGGATCTTTCCATAGCTATGTTAGTTTACCAGAAGGTAATTCATGATTACTTTCCTCAGAAAACCATGGGGTTTTCCACACCTATGTTTAGCCTAGGGTAAGAGATGCGAGCCATTGGCGGCCCCAAAGAAGTGCCAATAGGTCTCACGGTTTGGATGTCCAACAAAAATCAACGAAACCCATCCCCCTGATATAATGTTAACCGCCTAAATTGTCACATTTGTAAATCCCCTAAACTTACGAAACCACGATTTCTTACAATATTAAGGGAATTTACAAATGGGACAATTTAGGATATTAATGTACCACATATGTACCACCTAATTGTCCTATTAAACAACCACCTAAACTTACGAAACCATGATTTCTGGAGGTTGTTTAATATTTGGACATTAGGATGATGGTATTTGTTCATCTTAATCTGGATATGGACATAGCCCCCCTCCTGAAACACGTTCACTTGGGATCCCTGCAACCCTAGCGGCCAAACACTGGCCTCTTTGAATATGACATGCGTCTTGTATTTAAGGCACTATTTCAAATTATGTGCTCGCAAAAAAGATCAAAGCACCATTTTTTTAGGAACATCCAAGTCTTGATAGTCCAGATGGAGAGCAAACAGCACATACAACCTATTTATGGTGATTTGGGGGATGGTTCATTATTGTTTTAACTACATTAATCTGAGTAAATTATAATATTTCACTCACCTGAAATAAGGTCATTTTGGGATGATTCCCCTTACTAACCATGATTCCAGGGCTCGGGAGAACAGTGAGGTCGTGATTTTTCTTCACCACATTAATTTTCCTCCCCAAAGCTCTTTGAAAACCAAACTCGCCACATCTCTTGTTCCCTGGGTCCCCAACTCCTCGAAGCAAAGGTTCGATGAAGGTTTTCAGCACAGGGATCTGGCGGGAACCAGGGGGCCAACCGGGGGCCTGGGAGTGGATTTCCACATCCCCAATAGGCCTACAAGTCGTGGGGATCCCCCACATAAAACGAAATCGCGAAAAGTTGGGGTTCACATACCTCCAATTTCAATATGGTTCATGATACTTAGCTTATAACTATAGTTTTCATGGGGTTTGTAAACCACATTGTAACTAGGGGGCCAACATTGTATCAGTAGCCCCAAAGAAGCTGCAGAAAGGGTTTCACTTTGCCACTAAACCTTAGGATTGGATTTAACTGGTCTGTTTTTTTTTAAATTGAAAGGTTGCTGTACACTGTAAATTTAACCTTAAAATTGAGATCCCAAAACTGATTTTACTATTATGTATATATATATATATGTATGTTGGTATGCTTGGGTTCCATGATCTGTTATTCAATCGAAATGGGCATATCGGGTGAGGGGTTATAGGGGGGGTGCCCACAATCAGCTCATATGTCTGGAATATAATGTAAGGAATACTTATTAAATACCAACGCCATACCAAATGTACAATCCCATAATGGAAATAAAATGGGAATATTGCCAATCTGAATATCGAAAACATCCGCTAAATCTCAGTGATACTACTGCCAACACAACATTCCTAGCAATAAACATTCGGATAGCAATGGGTCATCAATACATGGGGTGAGCCATCAATCGCCATCTTGCTTCAAGTAAAATATTAAGTGAGATGATGTCTCTCAATCAAGAGACGCCGTCGAAACGCGTCATTGCAAACACAAATCAGCATGTTAATATATATATATATATATACATACATGTAAATGTATGTATAGATATTCCTTTAATAAACATGTATCTCTTAATTAAAAACAAAATTACTTTACTTCGTGTGATCCCCACCATGACATTTATATCTTCTGGCATTCTATCCGACATATCTTCTGACATTCTATTTGGCATTCTATCTGGCATATCTTCTGGCATATGATCTGGCATATCTTCTGGCATATCTTCTGGCATTCTATCTGGCAAATTTTCTGGCATTCTATCTGGCATATCTTCTGGCACTCTATCTGACATATCTTCTGGCATTCAATCTGGCATTCAATCTGGCATATCTTCTGGCATATATTCTGACATATCTTCTGGCATTCTATCTGACATATCTTCTGGCATATATTCTGACATATCTTCGGGCATATCTTCTGGCATATCTTCTGGCATATCTTCTGGCATATCTTCTGGCATATCTATCTGGCATATCTTCTGGCATATTTTCTGGCATTCTATCTGGCAAATCTTCTGGCATTCTATCTGGCATATCTTCTGGCATATTATCTGGCATTCTATCTGGCATATTTTCTGGCATATATTCTGACATATCTTCTGGCATTCTATCTGGCATTCTATTTGGCATTCTATCTGGCATATCTTCTGGCATATCTTCTGACATTCTTTCTGACATTCTTTCTAACTTTCTTCTGCACATTCTTTGTCCCATATCTTCCTACATGAGGTCCGGCAGGGAACACTTGGCATGGATACTCGCAGATGAGGTCCGGCAGGGAACACTGGGCGTGGCTGGTCGTGGTTGAGGTCCGGCAGGGAACACTGGGCGTGGCTGGTCGTGGTTGAGGTCCGGCAGGGAACACTGGGCGTGGATGGTCGTGGTTGAGGTCCGGCAGGGAACACTGGGCGTGGATGGTCGTGGTTGAGGTCCGGCAGGGAACACTAGGCATGGATGGTCGTGGTTGAGGTCCGGCAGGGAACACTGGGCGTGGATGGTCGTGGTTGAGGTCCGACAGCGAACACTGTGGATCGCGAGTCGCAGTTGAGCAGGAGGACGAGGAGGACAACGAGACGAGGAGGACAACGAGAGGAGGAGGACAACGAGAGGAGGAGGACGACGAGAGGAGGAGGAGAGGAGGAGGAGGAGCAGGCAACTTAGATAAAATCTAACAACCCTCACCTGGCAGGTGGGGAACAAAAACACGGGCGTTATGTCCATGGAAAACATGACATGTCGATGCGACATGACATGCCTCAGGTGATCCAAGCAGCTCCCGCATGGATGGCTGGAGCTACCTGTTATCCCTTGTGGTCATTTGCATGGGCACGCATGAAATCAGCCTACAAAAGCCGTCATCATATGACCCAAATATATATATATATATATATATATATCCACATATTTTTGGTCATGAAATTTGCTGCGTTCCCAACCATTTCCCATCCATCTCCCAATATCCCATCCCAGTGGCCACAAAACAGCCGTCCAGCCTCATATTCAGCCGCAGAGTTCATCACGAAGTCTGCTCCATTTTGATGAGGGAAAATCCAAACGCCCTCCGCACAACCCGCAGTTTTGTGATGATGAAAATATGAGTTTTGTGCCCTGAGAAAACCGTCAATGCCACAACTTCCGCGTTTTTTTCGTTGCCAACAATGGAAAAAATGGTGGCATTTATTCTCTATAGACTCTATGTTAGGTTAGGCAAGTTTAGCTGGATGGTGGTCAAGCTAAGCTAATAAGTGGGAAAATGGGGAGATGCAATTGATTTTTGTTGGACATATGACAAGGAAACGACCAACGGGATATGAAACACGGCTTTAAATTGGTGCACATGTTGGTGGAAACTCAATGATTGTTACTCACCCCCCCCATTTTGTTGGTTCAGCCACAAGGTATTGATGGTTATACAAATATGTATATATATATATACTGGTTGGTGGTTGACCTACCCCTCTGAAAAAAATATGAAAGTCAGTTGGGATTGCTATTCCCAACATATGGAAAAACATGTTCCAAACCACCAACCAGTATATATATTACAAAAAAAACTATTGGTTGGGTCCGGTATTTCCATGTATTTCCCTGCCGATTCCCATCTCAAAGGCTGGATCCCATTTGGTGAAGGCGCTGGCCTCTCCCTTTCTGACATTGTCCCACATGCCAAGGGTACGTGCCTCGTCGACTAAGGAAAGAGTTGACAGGGATGGCTGGATAACATTTATCTATATGTATTATAGTGGGGGTCTCCAAAGAGTTGCTGAGTTACTAGTGTAAAAAAAACATACGTTCTCTCCAACAGTTTGTGTTTATAGATGATCATAAAGAACACGCAACAGTAACCACAAAAAGAAGAACGCCACTATGACTATGATAAATGCCTGAAGAATCTCAAATATTTGCTTGTCTGCTTGTCTAAAACGACACTGGCCGATACCACACCTAACCATGCCATAGATGCAGCATGATAGAACTCACTTCCATTACAACATGCGTTTGCCCGCACATAAGGCACCCCCGAATGTGATGCCTTATGATAACATATAATTATATTAATCACCAACTTATAAGGGACCAATGATTATATAATTATTAATAGTTATATATATAATTATATATATATATATAATTATATAAATATATAATTATAATTATATATATCACCACCATTTTACCATTTTAACACATCAAATACCGTGGTACCCCCATTCATTTGATGAACATACCGTGCATCGCGAAGAAAATTCCCATGGTCTCCCCATGGTGTCGCCGCGGAACTGCTGAGTTCCCCCGGAAGAGATAGTCGCGGCACATCCGCCGCAGCAAGCGATGGTCCGTAGTCTTGACCTTGTGGAGTTCCATGGGAAACATCGAAGGCTTCAGTTGCCATAAATCACATGATATTAGCTAGATAATGGATATATGATATATGATGATATGTCATAGTAATCATCATTTCTGGTGGGTGTATATATATATATATAAATGGATATATATATATATACATATACTGGTTGGTGGTTTCAACCCCTCTGAAAAATATGAAAGTCAGTTGTGATTATTGTTCCCAAATATATGGAAAAAACCATATGCGAACCATGGTGCTGGAATACTTACCGCTCTATTAAGCCCTTGCCACCTCTTACCATTTTGATTTTGGTGATGATACTTTTTTAAATCTCAGCAAAAATCCAAAAAACACAAACTATGAAGATCAAAATTTTCCACAAATAGAGGGTGATGATTTTTCTTTTTATGCTGCTTAGAAAAATGTCAAGAAACAAAAATGTGAAGATCAAAATTTACCACATGTCACAAATCATTTTAAAAGATAAGATAGGTGGGAGATCTTGTCACATTTTTCCAATGGGATGCTGTAAGAGTGTCCAGTATGATTCAAAAGGTTGCTGTTCAAACAACATGTTGTTTTTGATGTTGGTTTTGGTGATGGGTTTTCTATTTGTGATTCTTGGAAAAAATCAAGAAACGAACCTGCGAAGATCAACATTTACCACATGTCACAAGTCATTCCAAAAGATAGGTGGGGAATCTGTTCACATTTTTTCGAACATGGGATGCTGTAAAAGTGTCCACTATGATTCAAAAGGGTGCTGTTCAAACAACATTGTGTTTTGATGTTTTTCCTCCATTATTCAAAAGTAATATCATACAATGTGCAAAGCAATTTTTTTGATGTAAGTCCCAGGCCCGTGCAAAAAAAACATCTATCATAGTTCATATTGCAGCGCCCTTTTTTTTTATTCTTCCGGATGCTGTAGAAGTATCCATTTTGTTTGTCTGGCGCTGATGTACATAATAGGTAACTACGGAGTTTTAAAGTCATTTGTGGTTGCCTCTTTTCAACCTGCCACCACAGTGATGCTGCAGCCCATATCGGACAGACTCAGAAGTTGAAGGAGGGGGGGTCAGGGCGACCAAACAAATACAGTAAGGCAAAAACAATCAATCAGATTCAATTCAATGGGTATTTCTATGTTTGATTTCGTTGTTTCCTGCTGACCTGCAGCCTTCAAGCCATGTGTGCTTTGGACCGCATCTCAATTGCAACTTGTGCTGGCAATGAGAACTTATCGCTGCATCTTGCTATTGCTGCTGTAAAAGTGGCTTCCAAATTGAAAACAGTTTCCACAGCTTGCTACCGCTGTAAAAGTGGCTTCCAAAAATTTGGCCAAACAATTATATATATATAGGTCTAAAGATATTGACAGGGAAACTGAGACATCGGTATTGGTATTGCTGCATACTTGCCAAAGGTATTCGATAATGGTGGCACATTGTTTTAAATTTCCTGTGCGGTGTTCACTCTTGAACTCTCAGGTCATCTTCATCGTCTTCGGTCGCTCGTCTCAAAAACTAGGTGGACTAAGCTCAGGGGGCTCTTAGTGCTGTAAAAGTGCTAATCCCCGGATGCTGTAAAAGTGTCCAAGCGGAGGGGGCTCTTAGCGCTGTAAAAGTGCTAATCCCTGGATGCTGTAAAAGTGTCCAGACGGCGCTGTAAGAGTGCTGCAAGGGTTGGACTTGAAGGGCGCTGTAAAAGTGCCTGGGCCTACAACATGCACTGCGAGAAGACCAAGAGTCCGGAAGCTTCAAGATCTTGCACATCAAGTTCAGAGGCGGGGTCAGCGGCAATATCCAGCTATAAAACCTATATAATAAATAAAAGACCACCCCACCACCATCCACTACCCATCCCATCCCGCCATCCACATCCCATATCACCATCCCACCCCATCACCAACTCACCCCATCACCAAGCCACCTTATTCCCATCATCCCCATCCCATCATCTATGCTTATGAGATAAAGAGTATAGTATACAGGCACAATGGCTGCAACCTCAGTGTCGTTCTTGCCAAGCATTGAACTGCTGCTGTAAGAGTGGCTACACATGGAAATTGAACATGACTTTCAATATCTTTCAATGGTATAATTCTGCTCTCAAGCATTGAATTGCCGCTGTAAGAAGTGGCTGGAAAGCAAGGTGCATCATGGCTTATATAGACATGACATTCTATGTTTTTTACACTTATACTTATACAATAGAAAAATATAGTATACGTATACAGGCATCATGGCTGCAACCTCAGCGTCGTTGTTGGCAAGCATTGAAACACCATTGTAAGAGTGGCTGGCACATGGCAATTAAACATACATGACTTTCAATATCTTTCAATGGTATGATTGTGCTCTGAGGAGTGATCTGCGATGTTTTTCCTCACAGTCGGCGTGTACCTGGTCAGCACTGATATCAGAAAACTGAATGCAACTTACATGTCTAATTGCGATTGTTTCATGGACACTCTTACAGCGTCTCCACAAGACAGTCTTGCCCCAAAGCCTAATTTGTAGACACTTTTACAGCGTCTACCCGCAAGATGCAGTGCTGCAACATCTTTTTTGCCTAGCGGAGTACTGTGTGTGTGTGCGATGTTTTGTGAAACATGGCGCAGCCAGCCGCCCGTGATCGTGATTGATCTGTGCTCCTGCTGCTGGGCTAGTTGTGCTATTGTGTGCCGCTAGTTATTTTTTCAATCACTGGGGCTGGATGCGCTGGATTTGCGCTTCTTGCCCTTGCCACTCACATTCTTTGGAGCCGCACACTTGACCTCTGGAAAAACATGTGAGCAAATCCCCCACTTATCTTTTTAAATGACCTGCCCTTTCTCTGGAAACAAAAGCCCTGCCTTTCCGGTCTCTTGGATTCTCTCCTTTTTCTTCGCAGCCTCAGCTGCCTTCTTTTCCTGCTTCTTCAATCTCTTTTGATTCTTCTTCCATTTCAGTTCCTGCCAAAGACTGACACATGCACACACAGGAGAACAGAGTTGAGTTGGAAAAACATGGCTTGACTTGACCAATCGCTGGTCTGTAATTGCCAGCCGTTTCCGGAAGTCCTGGGCGGTCTGTGCCACTGGGGCTTGATAGATCTTGACTATGTCCAATAGAAGCACGCTGCAGCATTCAAATTCAGTGCCTGGCCTCACGTCTCATGAGGCTATTTTCCAACTCCAGGCGGCGAATCTGGTAGTTTTTCCAGAGATCCTGATAGGGGCAGCAGCTTTCAAAAGACACAAGCAAAGACAGGGTCACACCTTTCAATCAACAGACAAAAACATTGCAGGCCTGCATCAGTTTTTCATTCTTCTTCGCCTCTGCCATTTCTTTTTTCCTAGACTCCTGACAACACCACGAAGCACCGCAAAACATTGAAGCATAGTGCCATGACAATGAAGACAAACATTCTTGATTTCCAGCCTGTGCCTGTGCGAGTCTTTCCTCCAGGTCCTGTTGCGCAATGTTATGAACAGTGCGTTATCACAAAAACTTGAACTGGAAGACTGTTCCAGCCTGGATCCTTGCTTCGTATGCTGCCTGACAGACAAAAAAAAGATGCGATGCTTTCAGACCATGGTGTTTGTGAGTGAAAAATGACGCCAAGCTTCCACTGTTTCCAACACATGTTGAATTCCAAAATTCCGGGGTGTGGATTTCAACATCAAAATGCATCATGCACTGGAAGCAGAAACGAACACGCCTTCGCCGCATTTGCCATCGCGGTCCTCTCCTGTGATCAGTGTACGTTGATGGATTGCGTGCGTGGGATTGAAATTGAGTCACCAATGAAAACCTCATGTTATGATGTGCCATGAGAAAAGTTTCTTCAACACCTCACCACAATCCCTTTTTCCCAGCCTGGTACTGGTTCTTCCAGTAGGCGGCGACGCCGCTTGTCTGCTTTGAGGGCACTTCGAGCTCCACCTGGTGTTGCTGCTGTGTCTGCATGCGAGCGCTTCGAGCTGCGCCTGGTGTTGCTGCTGTTGCTGCTGCAACAGTTGCTGCTGTTGGTGCTGTTGCTGTTGGCGGCTCTGCTCGTGTTGCAGCGACTGCTGGTGCAGCACATGTTGCGCGGTGTAAAGCGTGTGTCTGGCGGCCTCCTTTGCCTGGATGCTCTGTGCCATTTCTCTTCGCTGCTGGCAGGGATTGTGCCGGTGGCCCCTGCCCGTCGTTCGGCTTTGTTGGGGTCGGCGTGGTGGGGGCTTTGGTGACATGACATGTGGTAAATTTTGATCTTCACATTTTTGTTTCTTGACATTTTTTCTAAGCAGCATAAAAAGAAAAATCATCACCCTCTATTTGTCGAAAGTGTTGATCTTCATATTTTGTGTTTCTTGGTTTTTGCTGAGATTTAAAACAGTATCATCACCAAAATCAAAATGGTAAAAGGTGGCAAGGGCTTCATAGAGCGGTAAGAATATGCACACCAACATTTGCCCGAACAAAAGTCACCCAGTTTTGTAGGTAAATATACCATACATAGAGCATATGGGATGATTTTTTAGGAGTTTAAGAAGTTATGACCATTAGCAACCATGAATAAGCATTGATAAAGGATTGTCAGAATTTATAACCACTAATAACCATTAAACACCATACACAATCTTTGATAAGCACTAAATGAAGGTGTTTGTCAGTTGTGGATCCAAATACTTTCTGAGGATGTATTTTGTTTTATGTTTCGGGGTGAAGTACCTTCTCAGGAAGTGTTTGGATCCATTAATGAATTTCAGAAAGGGGTATTAAGAATCTGAAACCATCTGAAAACCATTACTAACCCATGGCCCCAAGATCTACCCAGCAAAGTTAAAAAGAAAAAACTGATTGCTGGTGCTTCGCCAATCCCAAAAATAGGAAAGTCAACGGAATGATTCCAGAAATCCAATGTGGCTGGGAATTCCCGAACTCGATGGAGCTAAGGAAAGCTGGACAATAACTTTTAAATTGGGGATATCTTTATTTCTGGGAAATAGCAATCGACGTAAATATTTGGGATATCTTTATGTTGCACAATTCATTGTACTTCATGACAAAATGTTTCGCGACATGCTATACCTCTGTTCTCAAATAAAAGACATGAGGAAGTGTCTGTGCAGTTTCGTGGACATTTATGGTTACTTGGAGGTTTCCTAAAATGGGGGGGTAAACCCCCGAATCATCCAAAATTAGACGATTTTAGCATTGAAACCCATGGTTTTGGGGACTCCCCATTTTAAGAAACCATCATTCATCATTCTAGAAAACAATAGAACTAATGATGAATAGAACCATCATTCATCATTCATTATTCTAATCCCAATCATGGCTTATTTATTGGGAAACAATAGAACCAAATCTGCCGTCCCTGGTCACTTCGCTGCTCAGTGCTGGACGCAATTGTGATCATCCAACTGCGCGTGGCGCAGTTACGTGATCGGCTGCATGCTGAAACTGGCTGGTTATTATATGGTTAATATAATGTTAATATACTGTTAATATATGGTTAATATGTTTGGTTACTATATGGTTAATGATGGTTAATAATTATCTGCTTGGTGGTTGACCTACCCCTCTGAAAAATGATGGTCTTCGTCAGTTGGGATGATGACATTCAACCAATATATATATATATATATGGAAAGTCATAAAATTCATGTTTGAAACCACCAACCAGTTTATGTCATCATATGTCATCCAAACGGCTAGATGTGAACAGTTTTCCCCATGTTCGTACCAAAAACCTACGCGGATTCCATATAGAAAACATAGATACACATGTATCATAAATATCATCTGGTAATTTAACATAGCTATTGAACATGGCCATCGAAAGTTCCTTGATTTACCGATATATTGAAAATGGTGCTTTTCCAGTTCGCAAAGTGTAAGTTCGTTTACCAGAGGGTAACACATGTAATTCTAGTAGATTCTAGTGCTAAATGGAACAGCCAACCAGATCAACCAGGATCGAATGGACCTGGCCCTTCCATCCGGCTACTTGACATCCGGCATGGCACCTGCATGGCAGTCAAGGGCGAGATGAAGATCTTGAAAACTTTGTTCACATCCACTGCCTGCCGAGGCCGTGGATCCCACGTGGAGAAGGTGAAGTGACCCGGTAGCCAAGTCCGTCCAGTTCGTCCATAGTCCAACACTCACTTCCAGTCGAAAATCGTAGAAATTGGTAACATTAAACACAAGATACAGCTAAACTACATGGAAAACTATGGGTGAATCCCAGCTAGCGAGGTGTGAGTACCGGGTTAATATTAGATCTTGCTGAGAGTTGGTACTCGAATCAACCAAGCAGATTTGATGTTTACCCTTTGTTACTATAAAAAGTAACTTTATATCAAAATTGTATGTATATACTTGATCTGAACATCTGACCCAAACACTGAAGATTCATCCTACCACATGTTACTCGCAAACTCAGAAAGCCGTAAAGTACGTTCTCTCAAATTACATCTAGAGAGCTGATGAACAACAAGGTTTGCCCAAGAATGGTAGCGAAAAACGGCGATTTCAATGGGAGAAACGTGGAACGACACCCCTTTTATCGTGAGCCAGAACACAGGAAAAGGTTCGCCAATCTCAGGATAATGAGAACATTTCCCCACAGAACATCCACCATCAACTATCATGTCAACCACTTAAACATGATTATCACCACATATATGGAGGTGTCCACAAATGGGGGTACCCTTAAATCATCCATTTATAGATGGATTTTCCCTTATAAACCATATATTTAGGGTTACCCCCATTTATGGAAACACCCATACAACAATCATACTTATTAAAACATAATAAAAATAAACTATGTTACTTCGAGTGATCCCCACTGTGACCATATGGTGTTCGGGTCCAGGCGTGCAGCATCCGTTGCTGGCAGAGGAGGAGGAGGAGGGAGTTGCACCTTTGTGAACATCTAGAGACCCTCACCTGGCAGGTGGGGGAAAAACAACACACAAAAACAGAATACACAACACAAAAAAAAACATATCATATTGTTCGCTATGCATCTAATAACTATCAACCAACAAGAACAAATAACCATCCCACAACCATCCCATCCTCTTTTCGCCTGTGCGTACATGGGATTGAGGGCATGAATCCCTTCGATCACCAAGATCCTGCAGATGTCAGGGTTCCTGATCAAACAGGATGATTTATAGGGTTTCAATGGGATTTTAATGGTATTTATAGGGTTTCAATGAGTTTTTTAATGGTATTTATAGGGTTTCAATGAGATTTTAATGGGATTTGATGGGATTTAATGGGTTTCAATGGGATTTAACTATCCAAAATTGGGACTGACATTTGGTTTTTTCACCATCAAACATAGAGAGTGCGGACCATCAAACTTTTTTTTTCGTGTCTAAAAAAAGCGCATGTACAAAATCAGTGATTTACTATGTCGACAACCAACAGACATTGCAATCATGACAATGTGGTTTTGTCCGAAAATAGGGTATACCTCCAATTATAGCCATTTAATAGGGATAATGATCATTCAGCATTGGGTAAATGGGGTACACTATTTTCAGACAAACCCATGTAAGTGTGGGAATGATGTCGTCATGAAACCTGGGTACTTTACCAGTACTACGCCGAGTTTGCCAACGAAATGTGCTGTGACTTCTGCATCCAACTCGATCCAACTCGCAGATTGTTTGTGTTTCTTGGTGCTCTAGACTCTATACAATCTGGGGCTCCCTAGATAGCTGAGTTGGTTTATAACTCCAATAACTATATGGTTTATTGCTCTTATAACTATAGTATTCATGGGGTTTATAAACCAACTTGAAGTCAAACATGTTGATTGAAAATGCTACAATATCGAGGCTATAGCTGTTAAAAATCAAGGATTTTCGCAATGTTTGATTACCAAAGGGTATATTCAATCTTGGCTAATTGGTGGTTGACCTACCCCTCTGAAAAATATGAGTCAGATTGGATCATCATCCCAACTGGGAAGGGGTTTCAATAAAATTCCATGGTTCCAAAGCACCAACCAGATCATTTTTCCCCTCATATTTTTTCAGGGGGGAAGGGCAACCACCAATTTGGATAATAAAAACCAGGGTACTGGATGGTGCTTTGTGGGATTTCCTGCTATTTTCAGTACCCGGCCTGGTCAACGTTTACAAAAAACTATGGAAATATCCACCATGCTATCAATGGGTAAATCCACCATGCTATTTACAGGAATTTACTATCAATGGGTAAATCCAATTCTATGAATATACCCTCTGGTAAACGTTTACAAACAACTATGGAAAATCACAATTTTCAATGGGTAAATCCAAACTTGTCACAAACTTCACAAACTTCTACCGGGCCAAGGTCACGGATTCCCACAACAAGCTGCCGGCAGTCCCGTTGGGAGGCAACGCATCAAACTTGTGCCCGTCCCTGCCATGGGATTCGGAGGAAACTGGCGTTTAGTGTTTACCAATCCTGGCTGGGTATCGCGCATGATTTTTTTTCGGAGAATAAACTTGGAAAAAATTAGTTGAAGATGTCATTACGTCTTTTTTCCGCTTCAAACAATCCAGTGGACATACGCGGGAGAATGTCTGGGATTTGTATTTAACAGAGTCGCCAAACAGGGGCATGTAATCAATTTCCCATGGTGAGATGTGTCATATGTTTATGGCCAAGAATTCACTCACAAACGGACCCAAGGTCCTTGGTTTCTCATGTCAACTCCGCCCCACAAAATATATCCTCCGGTAAACTTGGCAATGGACAATCAACAATAATGAGATGGGGCATTCAATGGGAAACTCATCTATAAATGCTACTACCCATATGCTCCATGTATGGTGTATTTACCTACAACTGGGTGATTTTGTTCGGGCACATGTTGGTGTGCATATTCCAGCACCATGGGTTGCATATGGGCTAGTAGAGGTCAAAACATGTCAAAACAAGCCCGTTGCAAGTTTCATGGCCCTGATTTTGGATCCGAACTGATCAGTGGCATAAGGCAGATCCATTGACCCTGCAAGGTATCATAGTTTGGGGTACCCCAAAATGAGATGACGTATCATAGCTATAGACAAAAATAGAATGTTTGATACCGAAATCATCTATAAATGAACAATTTTCGATAAATATGTTGAATGTTGTTGAATTACCGAATGGTAATATTATACACCGCTATATCCCCCCTAGAAACTCTGCTTTGATATTGGATCTATTCATGAATTTGGGGGTGCAACTATTGACGCTATTTCATATTGGGGGGTGGGATTATAGTCTATAATAGTATATATAATGTTAATTACAAAGAAAAATCACCATTAAGACATCAATGACATCATTATTGCTTATATCACCAGTTTTCAACAGGACTTTGAGGACCACAGGTGACAAAGACATGGCCAGTTTCACCCGTCTCGGTACCCTGTCTTCATATTGTACACCTCGGCCCAGTGGTACGGAGGGGATGTGGAAGGGACAAGAAATGCAGGGTTGGAGAACAAAATCGGAATAACCCGCCGGTAAACGTGGCTGGCTGGAAAATCCCCTATAAATGGAGGTTTTGATGGGAAATTGGTCTATAAATGGGTAGTTTTCAATTACTACGTCTGCTACGTTTGATTATTGGAGGGTAGATAGCATCACACTTTCATATTACCAAGAGAACTATTATTACAAGCACCATCTATGCATGGCATGTTTACCTGCATTTTCCACAATGCTACCCTGTGTATGCAACACGTCTTTCAAATTCTCTTAAATCCAAGTAGACCAAGGCAAGGTTGGATATCGATTTTCATGTTTGTTTTCACTGCTCACTAGTGGTGAATTAATTCCTCCCTTGGGGAAACTACCCATGACATCCCTTTTATGTTCAGGCTCCCTGAAAAACAATGGCCAAACACCAAACTCTTAAGGACCATACCACGCACCACATGCTGAAGATACATCTTCATCTCCCAAGGTTTACTGTGACTCTACCCATGTTTGTTGGCTAATTGCCCACCATTCCCCCGTCTTTTTTCTCAGATTTCCCAAAAGGGTTTCCTGGTTTCCCCTTCCTTCCGGAACAACAAAATGGCGCAAAATGAGCAGAATGCTGAACATTTCCACCAGAAATCTGTGAACCCTCAACTTGTCACGGGGATTCTCTTGCCTTCAGCTACCTGTTTTTTTTTTGGTGGCTTCGTCATCCATGACATGCCATGGGAACCCTTACAATCGGTATATAAATCTCTAATTTTGATGACCATTCCCCAAGAATTTGGCAATTTACACCAAGTTTTGACCATGGCTCATCTGAGTTTCTAACTGGTGTCATCACAGACTTGCCAGCAATCAATGCCTGGGCAGCTATGCTACTGCTGGGGTTATCTTCCACAGGAAACATACACGCTGGTGCACTGCAAATAGCTGGATCAAGTGGGGTCAACAGACATCTGCAATTACTTTAGGTAAGTATAGATAAGCTAGATAAGTATCAAAACTACTAGATGGTGCCTCAGTTCGGCTTCACGCCACGATGGCAAGCCCAGATCCAATAGCTATAATAACTAATAACTGTTGGGTCTGTGGCAAATATGATACATACATGAAATATGTTTTTTTCATGGGGAAAACCATAACCATCCATAACCCAACAAACATAACTATCATAACTGAGGGGCACCACCGCATGTAGGGATACAGCAATCCTATTTCAAAACAACAAACCGCTGGTTGAGCCATGGCTGGAAAGTTTGGTCATCTCAAGTAGGAATGACAGACAAACACCTGAGAACCCACGATGGGCCACCTTTAAATGGTCATAATCCATCATAATCATGATGGGGGCACAATGATTATGTTATCATTATAACTGTGTAATGGCCATAATAATAAGATGGGTACATGACACAATTATTCATGATCATGAATGACATATTAGTGGGATCAGAATCCATGTCATGTCATGATAATTCATAAGATGCGTAGTAATATGTCATAATCCTCCATTTTATCAAATCAACATCCCATGTTTTCAGATGCGTTGCAGGTAAAATACTGCCAACATTCGCACATGCCCAAAACACTGAGGTTGCAACATTCAAGTGCTCGCAAATGAGCCTTAGTTTTTTCCAATGCATTCAGAGCGGTAAACAACATGTTACCCATCCGCTGCTTACTCCAAGGTCAAGTTGTTCTCCAACCAAATTGTCCTTCAGCATCCAAGCCAGTGTGACTGACACAACTGCTGAATCTCCAACTTGAACAATCTTATAATTATAGTAGAAATGTCACGTGTGCATCATTTCTGAGCCCTGCCCATTTGGATACCTAGCTAAGAGAAACCCTGCATGCCGATTTTTTTTTTTACAATCAACTCTTATTCGGCAAAATTAAAATTGTATAATCCATACATTGCCAAAGTGACCAGTTGCTATACATACCTATGGTCCGTATTTATTTTGGGGGATAGTGCCATCGTACCTTCCCATTTTTGACCATCCATTGTGGTTCTATAAACCGTCCTTTTTGATGGTAAAACCAACATGTCATTGTTAAATCAACATGTTTCATGGTAACTGGTGTTTGTTGGGCTATAAACCATCCTTTTTCATTTAATATCATTTAACCATGAAACAACAACCATAAAACATGTTCATTGTTAAATCAGCATGTTTCATGGTAAAAAAAAAAACACTATGTTTAATGCTAAGACCACCATTTTCATTGGTAAATCATCATGTTTCATGGTAAAACCACCATTTTTTCATGGTAAAAACACATTTTTTCATAGTAAAAACACAACTTTCATTAGTAAATAAGAACCTTTTTGGGGGCCTGGGACCTTTGGGATCCGGGACCCCCAAACACCGAGCGACTCCACGTCCATGGACTCGATGTGATCGTAGTCCACATCGGAGCGCTGCTGCCGCGCCTCGAGGGATGGAGAGTTTTAAATGGGGGGACATAGTACTTACTAATCAATTACTATATGAATATCTACATTACATTGTTCTATTAAGTTTGTAGATAGTACATTACATTGTTCTATTAAGTTTTGTAGATAGTACATTACATTGTTCTATTCAGTTTTGTAGATAGTACATTACATTGTTCTATTAAGTTTTGTAGATAGTACATTACATTGTTCTATTAAGTTTTGTAGATAGTACATTACATTGTTCTATGAAGTTTTGTAGATAGTACATTACATTGTTCTATTAAGTTTTGTAGATAGTACATTACATTGTTCTATTAAGTTTTGTAGATAGTACATTACATTGTTCTATTAAGTTTTGTAGATAGTACATTACATTGTTCTATTAAGTTTTGTAGATAGTACATTACATTGTTCCATGTATAATATTCATATATAGTTATTGTTTAGGATAATGGATATTATCAATGTGATAAAAAAATCTATGAATAATTTGAACTAAGTGGGGTTATAGGGACACACTATCCATTTAAAGGATTTAAAGGACAATCAAATCCCATTTAAGTATCCCATGATTATGGTGAGTGAAATGGTAAGTAAACTAACATAGCTCCAGAAAATCCCCACTGTTTATATATGATTGACCTGGTTGTGATTTTCCATGGCTAGGTTAGTTTACCAAAGGGTAACATGGGGGATACACTACTCATGATTATGGGATTATAGGGTTTTATAGGGGGTTGATCAATTGAAAGGACAATGAAATCCCATTTGAGTATACCATGGCCCATGAGTATGCCATTATTGTGGGAGTTTATAGGATACCAATTGGGATGAAAACTGGCATATTAATGAGATAATACTATGGTCTTATATGGTTTAATAGGGATGACAAAGGGATAATGGTGGGGTATCATGGGATAAGAATGGAACGATAGTGAGATTATAATGGGATAAGAGTGATTTATGGGATACTAACCATTGTGATTGTCCGGTTGTTAATCATTACTATATATGGGAGTTTGAATGGTAATAGTTTGTCTGAAAATAAGGGATATTCCCAAAATGATGAATTTAGTGAGAACATGTTGATCAAGCATTCAAGTTTTTTGTGTGACCCTTTTTTGAACAAACCCATTTTTCGAGTTTATATATAGGACAAAATTTGGACAATGAACGATATTAGTAAGAACAATGACACAATAATCAATCAACTTTAGAGTATAATTGAGATAATTACAACTGTATATTATAGTTGAAAACATGGTAAGTTGATAATACCCTAGTGGTGAATTGAAAATAGTACACAATAGTACTATGGTTTTAAGTGTGCTTCAATAATTTAATAGTGGTAACAAAGCAATAACAATGGGATAACAATGGATTTACCCTCTGGCCAAGACTGATGGGTTGCTCTGGTATGGCTATGGTATAGATGGCCAATTTAGTTGAAGAACATACCTATTAAACATGGTGGTGTTTAGTAGCTATGTTGAGTTACACCAGAGTATTCCAACGTATTTGTCACCTTTCTCTGAGCATATGATGCCTTTCTATATACATGTGTGTACTGTATATGTTTTTTGTTTGCATGGTGCTTTGTTCATGTAACGTCAACTCCGGATTGATCTGACTGACTGACTGACTCCTAATTGGGAAGTTGCCCCAAAAAGTAGTGATCTGTGATCAAATCGACAAGTACAACTATTAGAATTGCATGTGTGCCTATGAATATGAAAAACTTTGCCTTTACTAATCTGGGTAAATTAAGATAAGAAATAAGGCTTATTGAATTATTATATGGTTCAATTGGGATGATGAACACTTGAACAATATTGGGGTGATTAACATATATTGGGATTACCATATTACCATTATATATTCTGATATATGGGATGATTAAATTTAAGTTACCATATTAAACTTAACATATATTATTCCAATCATATATTGGGACCATCATTTACCATTAGTGTTGTATATTAACATATACTAATCATATATTTACCTTTATTTACTATATTGGGATGATTCCTATAAATCAACTTTTTCCAGGGCTCAGTCACGACGTGAGGTCATGGAAAAAATACCCATATATCATCCCACGATATTCCCGTCATTATACTACCATGTGGTTAAATCACCATTTTTCTTATGGTTTCCTATAGGTATCTCCATTCATATATATATATATAATTATATCTACATGTATCTATCTATCTATCTATCTATCTACCTATATCTATAAATATACATATGTATATATTATGTATATATATATATTTTTTCCTTTGGGTTGACATGTTGACTTAATTGCACCTGACTCGACCACAACATCTCCCAGCGAAGTCGTCAGGCCTGGTACTTTGGCTGGCGAGGCAAGGGAAGATAGTAGTGATCAACCTCAGCAAGCAGAGGTCGACAGAGGTCGAGGCTAAGGTCTACATGTCGACAAAATCCAGGTCCATCACTGGAGATAGATGGAGATAGGGCACGGTGAAGCAAAAGATTAAAGTACTAAAGTATCTGACCATATGTAATCAAGCTTGACCCAGTAGGAATGAAACAAGTTCATACTAGGATGCAGGACTGAAGATGACTAAAACAACCCAGTATTACCATCTTGTTATTTAACATAGCCATGGAAAATCACCATTTTAAATAGGTAAACCATCTATAAATGGTCCATTTTCCATGGCTATGTTAAATAACCAGATGGTAATTATAGGACCTCAATATTATAATATTGTTGTCATTTCGGACCTTTTCAAAAAGGACTGAGACACTCAGTGAGTTGGACTAAACGAGTCCATCGACTGCAGTCGACGTCCACATAGGACTGAAACAACTCAGTACATTGGAGTCGATCAAAACCAGATAAGACCTTTTGATAACACGACTGGTTCAGTAGACATGCCAACATACATATGTTTTCAAAACTATGATAAGAAACCAACGTCACTCTAACGTCTCTAACTGTGCTGTTTCGGCAATCTTGAAAACCTGGAAGATCCTGGAAGATTCGTTTGTCTCCCCAGCGGAGCACACATTTTAGTCACTATGGTTTTGTATCAAACAGATGGACACTCCATCCCAAGCACCTTCCATAGGTCTCAGTACTTAGAATACTCTAATCAATGGCTGGTTGGTGGTTTCAACCCCTTTGAAAAATATTAGCCAATGGGAATGATTATCCCATATATTATGGAAAATAAAAAATGTTTGAAACCACCAACCAGATGACTTGGATGATTTGGGGTAGCCCATTTTAAGAAGCCTCCCATCTTCAGGCCACCGGGCCGTGAGTGGTTTGGCGGCATAGCCATTGTTCTGCAGATACATGCCTCACGGCAGCCGGGCGCTGAATGCCCTGAATATATGTAGTGATCTCCAAACGTCAACATGTTTTTGCGTGAGCACCATCAATTAGATACCAGTAGTACCGCGCAAGGCGGTGGCGGAAGTTTCAAAAATAGGGAACCGATAGGAGAGGTTGGTTGTTGTGAATCACGGATGGCAGAGCGAAGCCACTGATGGATCGAAAGGTGATTGATATCTCCTCACTTTCTCTCTTTTTTTGTCTCTTTCTCTGATTATCTACCTATCTACCTACCTACCTACCTACCTAGCTATTTATCTATCTATCTGTCTATCTATCTATCTATCTATTTATCTATCTATCTATCTATCTATCTCACTCACTGTCTGTCTGTCTGCCTGTCTGTCTATCTACCTGTATATCTACAAGCTTGAAAACGAAGCTATTCTGCGAGACGTCCTCAGGTTTTGAACTTGACAACATCAAAAACGGAGCAATTCTGCGAGACTTCCTCAATGTTTGAATTTGACAACGTAAAAACGAAGCAATTCTGCGAGATGTCTTCATTTTTCGAAGTTGACAACATCAAAAACGAAAGAATTCTGCGAGACTTCCTTCAAAAATGGAAAGTTGAGTGCAGAGCTGACGGCCTCGTACCAATGCGTTTTGCGATTTTTCCAGTCCATGTGTCTAAACTACTGCGCCTACCACGAAAAAGTGATGCCAGGTCATACGAAGTGCTGCACCTGTCACGCAAAATCATCTCAGCAAACCTGACGATCTGCTCCAAAATGCAGCTGCTCTCAGGAAATCAGCGCCTGGACCTCCTAACAGCTCTGATGAACATGTCTCCTGTAGTGCGCCTGCCGCGGAAAATGCATCTTTGCAGATCCTCTTCAAATGTCCCACGCCTGCCATCGTTTTTGGAAATGCTACAAACCCTCACGTTTTGCTCACTTTTGACAAGGTCCACAATCCCTTGCGCCTGCCACGCAAAAGCACATCGGAACGTCCAAAAGTGGAGCTAACATGTGGTGTTTTGTACATTTTGACTTCGAAATGTGCTTCGCGCCACAACGGCGTGCACTTTTTCGACATCTCAACTTCCAAAAGTGGTCGGAGCATGGTGTGTTTTGTACATTTTGACTTCGAAATGTGCTTCGCGCCACAACGGTGTGCAATTTTTCATCTCTCATCTGGCCAGATGGCTCCGCACCCGCCGCTTTAGCAAGCCTACTTTTCGACCCTCCGGAGCCACAAATCATTGGAAAGACACAGTGTTTCGCGACTCTCCTACCTTTTCGCGCATCTGCATCTTCTTTCTTCTGACTCCTTCTCTTCTCTGATCTTCTCTCTTCTACTCTTCTCTTCTCTCTGACTCTTCCCATCTCTGCTTTTCATCTGTCCATATTGTCGGAAGTTTGACTTCTAAACTTCCTTCGATTCTCCATATACGGCCCATTTTTTTTATGGAATATATGTTACAGTAGATACATCAGAATTGATCACCTCTAATTGTTTGGGACATAGTTATGATATGTTTACTTTAGGTCCCAAAGATCCAAAATCAGCGGGTCAAAAAAAACAGTTCATCACATCATTTACCCCAGCGTAACCAGTGCGATGTGGTTTGCACACAGCATTTTTAGATCATTATCATCATTAGTTTACCCAGGAAAAACCATGATTTTTTCAGTATTCTTAGATCATCATCCCCATTAAAACCCAGGAAAACCATCAGTTTTCCACCATCTTTTCGTATGTTCCCCCTAGGCTATCTATGGGACCTCGCTTCAACGCGCTTCAAAGCGCTTCAACGCTGGACCAGGACGGCGCTGGGCGTCGCCACAGAGCTTGGTGGCAAAGGTGGTCTTGCCCGAACTGGTCGGCCCGGCGATGCAAATCACCTAAAGGGCCGTCAGGCCGCCAGGAACGAAAATATGAATCTCCAGAATACATCATTTAATAAAGAGGAAGAACGATTGATATATGATATGATATAATACCATGTGATATAATGTGATATGATATGGTATGGTATGATTGTCGACTGATGTCATAGGAAAAAGGCCGAGAAGAACAAGTAATAAGTTAAGAAAAAGTTGAGAAGAAGAAGAAGAAGAGGAAGAAGAAGAAGAAACACAAAATCCACTTAGGATTGACATATGTTGCGTAATTGGTGGACTCTGGAAAATCCTGAGACTTTGTCACCGTGTTTCTTGCTGTCTTGACGCTGGTGATATCCCTGAAAAACAAACAGCAACGTTTTCAAGCCGTAATGTACCTCCATGTTCCTAAAACTACTTGTCCAAACTATTTTTTCGTAAGTTCTAAGAATCGGTACCTCCATTGAATCCATCTTCTTTAGGTTAAAAGGTCAGGAATGCACATCAAGAAACCTATGAGCACAACCTGTATATATAAAAATAATATTAAAAATTGTTAAACCATACTTTACTTAGTTTACTATTAAACATAAAATACACTTAGTGCAAGAAACTTATATTTCCCTTTTCATTATAAGTATCTAACTGTATATATATAATATGGAACATATATGGACGAGAACCGAAAACAACAGCTCTTTCTTTTGGGATAAGGCACCTTCACAGCCTTGCCGGCAGCAGATCTCTCCTTGACCTGGCAAATCGATTCGGGTGAAAATCCGAAAACAAGATATGACACGGTTAAGAGAGATGTTCATATATCTTGTCTAACTGGTGATTTCAATCCCTCTGAAAAATATGAAAGTCAGTTGGGATGATTATTCCCAATATATGGAAACAAAACATGCTCCAAACCACCAACCAGTTTATCTTGTTTAAGAAAAAAAACAACATATCTGTTTTGAGTTGTTCATTTGTGATGTTCATAATCAAACATATATGACTAAGGGGAAAAAAACAACAACACAACAACATTATGATTCTCACAAACCAATGCATTTTGATGCATTTTGGTTCAAACATCCCAAGAAGTTCTGCGTTCACACAAAAAACGTCCGACGAACCAACGAAGCGCCCAATCTAGATGCGGTTAAATCATCAAAAAAAAACAGGGAGAAAATCACACCATGGGCAAAGTATAGTTCCCACTAAAGGCCAAACACAACAATGACAACTACCCTCTAGTAAACTAACATAACTATGGAAAATCACCATTTTTCATGGGTAAATCCACGAACTAAATGGCAATATGTTAAATTACCAGAGGGTATTTCCAAACTCATTGCGAGGTGGCTCCCAAACATTCAAGGCCCGCTTTGCAAAGACAGAACACAATCGTTTCAAATATCATACACTTTGCCTAGAAACCCTGGTCTAGTAATGGATCTATTCATTTTTTGGGCCCAACTATTTGCGGTAGTTCTTAAAATTAGGGGGTGGGATTATATTACCATATACCATCTTAATTACCAGGTAAATCACCATCAAGACATCATTATTGCTTACTTCACCAGTTTTCCACTAAATCCCACAGGTTCTAATTTCCGTCCTAGTTTTTACTTGCTAAATCTAATATGAAGCACAAGAAAACAGTAACTTATCCTCCGGTAATCAAACATGGCAATGGACAATCACCTATGGAGGTGTCCTAAACTAAAGGGCTACCCCAATGTTCATCGATTTTTCGTATGATGTCCATGGGATTTCCCATGAAATAAAGCGCCATTTCAGGATGATCGTCCCATGCAGTGAAGCCTCTGGCGAAACGCTGCCTGAATTTGTAGACGATCTATTGAAACATATTGAGACTATCAAAGAGACTTCAAGAAGACTTCTATTTTTTTCCTGAGCAATGGTTAAAATCCCTAATATTTATAGAATTTATAGATGATCTTCCCAGCATAGGGGATATTCCAGCCATGGCATTCGAAGGACAGGAGGGTAACTCGCCACCTGCGCTACAATCTCGGCAATCTTGGTCTCCTGCCGGAACTCGCAGGCCAAGACCTAAGTCCAGTGATGATACGACGGCCAGTGGCCGTCGTTTCCAGCTGCGACAGGTTCGGTTGTTGGAAGAAAACACCTAGTTGCGAGGAACTGCCAGGATCTGTTGGGTTTGGTTCAGAATTTTAGAAAAATAAAACATGCTCAGAAATCTTAGATGTGAAATCTCAGGACACCAAAGTGAAAGAAATAGGCATTTGGAAGCGCGAAAGCCATCGTCTACTAGAGGCTGGAGAAGGAGCAAGGAGGCCCTAGAACCGAGCAGCTTGGAAGGCCTAAGAAGGAGCAAAACCGAGCAGCGTTATCATCATTACCCATAGGATCCATGGTGCTGCTATATATGGTAACATGGATCCCATCAATATACCCCCAATGTTAGTATATATACCAGCACCATGGATCCTATCATCATTATCATCCAATGACCGCATGTCCAATCGCGCCGTTGCTCGATTTCTGGGTCGCAGAACGAAATCCTTTCGTCCTCGACCCACTTGCGACAGGTGGTTCAGCTCGCCGACGGAGCGCACCTGAAACGCCATGGATAGCCGCTCCGGTGTCATCAGACATGGCAGGTTGGGAAATCCCCTATAGAAATGATGAAATGCAGGTTTTATGTGGTTTTATTGAAAAAAACAACTATGAATATATATATATATATATTGATTATCTATGAATGGGGGATTTTCCAGCCAGCCACATTTGATGAAACCGGAGGATACCTTCAACATCTTTAAACATGAGCTGGGCTTTTTGGTGGCCAAAAAAGAGGGTTCGCAGTTAGCTACCTCGTCCCACTCCCACATCAAGCCGAATCTCTGGAAGCCCAAGCGTTCACCCAGCCTGATAGCCTTTGCAGAAGTTCTTGTGGTCCGTATGCGAGATCAACAACGCAGACCTCTCAACTGCAACGGATTTAAGGGAGAACCAGTGAACCAGGCCAGAGCTGCGGAACCAGGCCACACCTGGAACTGTTTCAGCAAGGTTTTCAAAACATCAACAACAAAACTAAAATCCGGTTGGCATATGGCACAGTCTCATTTCTGAACTCAGGATCCATGCTGATTCTGCTCAGGAGGGGGTTTTGATGGGGATATGAATTCTTGCATCATATCTCTCAATAGATTCCAATGATACAGGTTTGCGACCCAGTTGATGAGGCTCAACAAACACATCCAAATACCGTACCTCAATTTACGATGCGCATTCCTCTGAACAAACCATTTACATGACTTGTTGGATCATCCCAAATACCAGCCATAATCCACCCTGACAACGCCAATTGAAAATAACATGTTCAATAGGAAGACTGCACGTGGATAGACATGGGGCACTTTCCAGGTTTGATTGCCATTGGCTGCTCCTGGCTGCATGATTGCCATCTGGAAACCAAGGCTCCCCACTGCAACTGATAGTCCTCTGTGTACGAGGCCACCTGGCGCAGTGACTGCTGGTTTCAACATGTTTCAACCCTTCTGAATACAAGTAGGTAGAGTTGTCCTAAATCTTCAATGTTTTTCCCACAATTGATGGCAAATTTCAAAAAAATCATGATTAACCCTGGGATAATTTCGGGGTAGCCTGTTTTCCGACAACACACATGTTGCATTGAATTGCAGATCATTTCGTGTCATAGTTCCACATGTTTTTTACCAACCCAACCAGCACATCACTGTTTTGCTCTTTGACGCTCTGTTGTCGGTCAAATCCCCATAAGAAATTCTCGCTGTTGCTGGTGAAATCCCGATTTTATGATTGCTTAGATCCCCACCAAGGACCCTTTGTTACTCGCAAAAAAAACATTCATAGATCTTTGTTTCATGATGTTGAAAAAAGTATTCAATCAATTTTCTTGCATTGAAAAATTGAAAACATGTTTCTTGATTTCCTAATTCTATCCCGCAACCTTCCCGCAACAGTTATGGACTGATATACCAGTGATAAGTACTGAAATAACCCCATAATAATGGAATGTGCAATCCCATTTATAACAAAATATAACAAAATAAAAATAAATCAAACATTTCTGGTTTGTGGTTTCAACCCCTCTGTAAGATATTAGTCAGTTGGGATTATTATTCCCAATATATGGAAAAAATAAAAACTGTTCCGAACCACCAACCAGATTTATAACTTATAACCAAGAATAAATAACACACTATACCCTCTGGTTATTTAACATAGCCATGGAAAATGGCTCATTTATAGATGATTTTCCCATTAAAACCTCCATTTATTAGGGATTTTCCATGGCTATGTTAAATAACCAGATTTATAACTTATGATCATAAATAAAAAGCACACGATAACCCATAGGATCCATGTATGGAATATTTACCTACATTGACCCCTAAAGTAATTTAAAATATTTTCCCAATGTAGGTAAATATTCCATACATGGATCCTTAGGGTAACTAATAAATAGCTAGAACCCGCAGCTTTCACCAAGACACGAAGCCCGTCATCTCCTTGCAACGAACCAAGGCGAAGGTTCCTGCCTCGCTATCGATTGACAAAATGGGGTTGTGTTTTATTTATAGAGGAACCACTGGTTGGTGGTTTTAACCATCTTGAAAAGTATTAGTCAGTTGGGATGATTATTCCCAATATATGGAAAATCATAGAAAAAATCCATGGTTCCAAACCACCAACCAGACAATGAATTGTATCATTGTAGCGATAGTAGCTACATGGATCTCAACGGATCCCAATGGACTGTGGATATTTTAGATTTTCACCAGTTTGAAAAATCTAGAAACATTACCCGGCCTGGTAAACTAACAGTTTGCGAACTTGAACATGGCCCAGTCGAAATAGTGAGTTTTCCCATGAAAAAATTGTGATTTTCCATAGTTACGTTAGTTTACCAGAGGGTATATACTTGAATGGATTGTGGATGTTAATGGAGCTCAATGGATTACACAGCCCAATAATATTCATGGATTAGTTATGAACAGGAACTAGTACATCAGTTACCATATTGTAGTGATATATATATAATTCATGGATCTGGATTGTAGATATTTCATGAGATTGAAAATCTAGAGGATACTGAATTTTCCCATTGAGATCCATGAGATACTGGGTTGATCTCATTTGAAGCTCAATATCTATACTTCCTTCAAGCCCAATCTTGTAGAGGATATTGGGTTTCGAAGCGATCAAATTCATATTGGGCTTTCCGCGCAATTTTCCCATCGAAGGATGGAATGCTTGAGATAAACTTTGGACGATGAATCCCAAACCAGGGAAGCCACTACTGATACATTAGACCGCCCAATGCCCCAAAAAAAAATCAAAAAAGGCTACTGCCCACCAGTCGAGCCACCAGTCATAGATTCATAAGTTAACTTTAAGAGAAACAAGAGTCAGCTAATTATATACATTTATATACCATCTGGTTATGACTACCATAGCCATGGAAAATCACCATTTTTAATAGGTAAACCATCTATTTCTATGGGCCATCTATACCATGGCGAACTGTTAGTCATAACCAGAGGGTAAGTCCCCACCAGAATCCAGACATATCCAATCCACGCACCCATCATCTGGTTGGGCCAGCTGCACAGACCCACGAAACCATGCCATCACCGGAAGGGTGCTGGACAATTTAAGCATCAAACATGGGGACTTAGAATGACTTAGATATGGTTTAATGAACCATCCTGGGAATTTGATTTTGGCCAACATAACTCCCTGAATAATTGAATAGCCCACATAGTTCGGCACCAACAAATGAATAGATCTATATAATAATCCAATACACTCCGCCAGGGTTTCGATTGGCATGAAAAATATCAGTGCAAGCGGGGTATGGGGGTGCCAATATCACTCAGCTGGCACACCATGATGATCCGTAGATTTATATCATTGCATTTCCACAGCGAGTGGTATATATCTGGGTAAATTAGAATAATTCACTGACCTGAAATAAAGCTTCTTTGAATATAAACCATAATGAGGATTCAACGTGTTAATCCAGTTTTATTATAGGTAAATTATGGCAATTCAAATGTCAACTGTTTGGAATTTACCAATAGAACAGGTTGAACAAGTATTTAAATACTATCAACCCCAATTCTGATAACGAATAGTCATTATCTCATCACTTTTCGAGGGTAACTCCCCCAAATCAATAATTAAGGTTTATTCATCCGGGGTTGACATAGTTCCCTAACTGTGGTGAACAGACCCAAACAAATCAAAAAATGTTTGGTATCGGTATCGAAGTATTAACATATCAATTCCGAACCACTTCGACTGCTTATTTATATCAACTTATAGTTTCGAGCCTGTGTTTCCCATCAATTCCACTTCATCTCCAAACCATAAATTGACATGTCTGCCATCCTGGAATCTGCTGATCCAGCGAAAGCCATGCCCCCAGCCACTGGGTTCCACAAGGAACCAGCTAGATGAATCAGAGCTGCTGGAGCTGTGATGGGATGATCATCCAAATCCCAAAGCTGCTGGTGACCGATTTTTTTTGCTCGCTACAAGGTGGTGCCCCCAGTTGTAAATTTGTTATAAGCCCATGAATACTAAAGATATATCACCTATAAACCATAGTTATTGGAGTTATGTTCACCAACTTAGCTATCGAACGGGGGCACCACCGTGTATCATTTTTTCTGACAAAGTTCTTCACCAATGTCAGGTAAGAGCATGAGATGCGGCCCCCAGTGGAATTGGAGGCAACAATTCTTTCTGGCTTTCCTGTGTTGGCCCAAGGGGTTGACAGTTCAGTATACTGTTTGGACCATGCCTTAGGGCCTTTTTGCCCGGCACCAAGAACCGCCTGTGCCACTCGGTTGGTAGCTCACCTTGCACATAGGCATCTACCATACACCCAACAGCTATTGGAGGTCTGATACAACCAACTTAGCTTAAGTCAACTAGTATCAACTATAATAAAACATCTATACATATATATATATATCTACAAGTCACCATTGGTTTCTGTTGGTTATCGTCCCTTATTTGTTGCTTTTCACAACGGTCCCACGGGCCGGGCCTTCAACGCTGAAGCATTTTCATGCAACTCAAAGAGGTTCAAGCGCAGCACCCCGTGGCACTCGTAGCACTGCACCTTTTTGGGACAGACGAGTTCAACGTCATCACAGCCAGATCCATTGATGGTGGATGTAAGGGGTAACTATCCCAAAATAGTTGGGTTCTGTCGGATTCGTGAAATATGGTAATTCATCCAGATTTGGGGAAGATCTATGAATTGCTTCAAGAGGAAACATATGCAGGAAGCCATTTTCATTTCAAATGACATATAGGTATAAGGATGTTCAGTGATTTTCTACATTTGTTTCAAGTGACCAAGTCACTCGAAAAATGTCACCCACTGATTTTTGAGTTGCCATACCACTTGCTTTATCTACTCATTAAATGGCATACAGCAACAGGACCAACGATGGAAACATGGACCCTCCGATTCCCCGTATTCAACCGCAACACCGGGACTCAAATTGCCGGAAACCTACAGAAATTGGCCGTGGAAACCACTGAAATGGCTTATAACTGGTGATTTCTATGGGATACATTGAATTCTTTCCACTGGTTGGTGGTATACCTACCCCTCTGAAAAAAATGATGGAGTTCGTCAGTTGGGACCACATTATTCCCAACTGAATGAACAGTCATATAAAATTCCATGGTTCCAAACCACCAATCAGCATTCATCAATGTCCCCTACCTACATTTGGGTGATTTTGTTCGGGCAAATGTTGGTAAATATTCCATACATGGAGCATATGGGTTATGGGCTTCTTTCAGTACTTAGAACTGCTATACCTCGGGCCGGTTCTGGCTGGATCCAGTTCCACACAAAACGTAAAGGGTGGTTGATGAACATAACTCCAAGAAATCTCCAATAACTTAAGGGTTTGTAGTAGATATATCGAACTAGTTACTATGTTGAATATAAACCAACTTATAACTGGAAACACCTTGTATTCATCAGTATTGATCGCTACCAGTCACTATTCTTCACTGGTACTGTGATGAAAAGATACCCCGCTTTCCCATCTCATGTTAAATACTAGTTGGTTGATAGACTTCCCTAGTATGTGTTTTTGTGATTTCCAATAAAGTAGGTAGTAAAAGTAGTAGAAGTGCCAACAAATTAACATCTCAACTAGACGATTTTGTTCATGGCTCATCGAATCTATGGTTATTCATCATTAATTATCATTGTATTAATATTATGATCTATGATCTAGTATCATCTTCATTTCATCATATGGTGGTTTCCATAAATGGTGGTACCCTAAAATGGATGGTTTCTAATGGAAAATCCATCTTTAAATGGATGATTTAGGGATACCCCCATTTCAGGAAACCTCCATATATTGATATCATTTCATCACTAACCTGAGTAAATTATAATATTTCACTAATCTGAAATAAGGCTATGTGGGGATGATTCCCCATTTACTAGCCATGATTCCAGCGAGGTCGTAGTGAGGTCGTTATAGTTTACCCAGACGAATACCAGTTTTCATGACTCTACCCTCTGGTAAACTAACATAGCTATTGAACAGGGCCATTTAATTATAGTTTATTTACCCATTAAAAATGGTGATTTTCCATAGTTATGTTAGTTTACCAGAGGGTGCTCCCCATATTTTCCCCCCTGCCCCCCCAAAAAAGAACACCATGGACCCAGTCGCCGGGGTGCCCGGTGGCCTCTGTCTTGACCCGCGAGGACAAGAGGCTGCTGGCAGCTGTCAAGTTGTGTTCCTGGAAGTAGGACACGGCCTGGCCATGTGGCTTTGGGCGGCGGCTTAGGCCTGGGGACTATGAGAATTGTTGAGAAAAACATGATTTTCCTGTTATATATATATATACATATGTGAGAAACCTATGACTTAAAAATATGTATCCGGTTAAAATATGTAAAACGACTAAAAAAAACTATTGGGATTTTCATTTATATAATTTAAACCATCTTTTTTAAGCCAATGTGTATCATTCAAGTCATTTCTTTCAAAGAACTGATGGTAAATTTATCATGAAAACGGAATTCATGGGATTTTCCTAACATTGTCAAGAACATGGGATGAAGCATTGCTGGGGTTGTTGTACAACTAGGACACAATGTCACATGATTCTGACTCATGACTCACTTGCTCATTCAGATGAGCGCCCCCTGAAAAAAAGCGCATTCCCAATCTTAGATACCCTGCAAAAAACGGTTTCTGATTCAGCTCAACTTGTTTTCATTTGAGCGGTATAAAATGTGGTTTCTCATAAAATTGGGCTACCCCCAGATCATCCATTTTAGTCGGATTTGCCCTTATAAGCCATCCAGCTATTGGGCTACCCCCATGTCTCAAAAGACAATTCAGTTGGTTCCACCCAAAGTTGGGAGATAAAAATGGCCTAATGTTTTGAAACCATTGCGCAGCAACGGTTTCAAGACTAATGCTCTGTATACCTGCCATCCTCAACGAAGGAAGGGTAACAACTCATCGAGATTAAGATACCCATCCTGGAGATCATCGAACATGGGCCGGAAATCTCCCATGTACGCAACCATCGTTTTCCCATGACATATCGTAAAACAATCATGTATATTGGAATTTGCAGCAATGATAAGAAAAAACATGAGATGTTCCATTGTTAAAGCACCATGATTGGTTTTAAACCACAATTAGATGGTTTTAAACCAGCATTATTTCTTGGAGTTTCATGGTTAAAACATGTTAAAACCAGCGGTTTTAGGCGCGAAGCCGGATCGAAATTTGGCGCCTTCTTCCAGGGCTTGGTCACGCGATAGATGGTCTCTTCTGAATCCACCAGTTCCAGCAATTTCTTCCGGATCTGGTCCACCTTCAGTGGAAATCTGGTTGGTTTCAACCACTCTGAAAAATATTAGTTCAAGAAGGATAATGTCAAGTTAGGACTAGAAATCTACTAGGACAATATCTGGTTGGTGGTTGACCTACCCCTCTGAAAAATATGAAAGTCAGTTGGGATTATTATTTCCAATATATGGAAAAATAAAAAAAATGTTCCAAACCACCAACCAGAAATTTCTCTGGAAACTGAGGTGGAAGACCAGCATAATTGAAAATGGTGGTTTAACATGGTTTAAGCATGAAACATAGTGAAAAATGATGGTTACAGAAAAACTGGTTGGTGGTTGACCTACCCCTCTGAAAAATATGAGTTCGTCAATGGGAAGGATGACATCACATGTATTATGGAAAAAATGTTTGAAACCACCAACCAGCCTACATTTGAAAATGTGCTTCGTTGTTTTTTCAAAACTGTTCTTGACAACGTCGAACTCCATGCTTTTAGAAGAGGATTTTGGTAAGTTGCTTCTTCTTCTTCTTCTTGCACATGAACTTCGGCTTCTGCTTTTTAAGCTTGGAAATCTTGGAATGACTTCAGTGCTGGGAATACCCATCCTGCACAAAGACAGCCACTGACCAAATGGAGACCGTGTGCATCCTGGTTTCACAACCGAGTGTCAAAACGTTCATCCAGAAAATGAAGCCGGGCCTCCTCCTCCGAATCGGCTCCGCCCTCGAGTTCATACAAGAAGCCTTGTTGACGGAACATGATTGCGGCAACGGTTTGCTGGTGAAATTGCCACGCCTTTCACCTGTTGGATGTGTTTTAATTGAGTGAACAATACGTTTGAACTTTTTGCATTTGCCTGGATCTTCAAAGGATTTGGAATTGAACATCCTGGTCTGGAGGTGTATGCGATGCACGTATTATTCACATGACAACGTCACAATCCAAACATATAGCCTCGACTGCCGACTGCCGAATCACACTGCGACAACTGAGACGAGGACCATTTCCCAAAGTGTGTCCTCTGGGCCATCTGCCAACTCCCAAGGTGGTTGCACCCCCAGTTACGTTTGGCTAAATCCCAACTGTTCATGGTTAAATCGCAATGACTTAGCCATTTATGAGCTACAATTGGTGAACCCTTTGTTACCATCTCATGGTTTTAGCCACTGGTTAACCCATTGATGTTCATGGTGGGTGAAATCTCAGCTGTTTCATGGTTCAACCCAGCATCTTTCACCCATAAATCCCACGATTCCCACCATAATTACTGCTTGCTGCGAAGCGGTTCCCCCTCGTGGAAAAATCATGGAGTGACGTTCGTCAGATTTTCCAATCCCAAGTATGAAATGGAAAGTCATAAAATTCCATGGCCCCACACCACCAACCAGATGATATTTTTTCTATGATCAAACTCACCATCTGTCACCTTTTTTTTATACAAGGTGGTGCCCCCCAGTTATAAGTTGGTTTATAAACCCCATTAACTATAGATATATCTACCATAAACCATAGTTATTGGAGTTATGTTCACCAACTTAGCTAACGAACTGGGGCACCACCTTGTAGGTAAACAGCACCATTTCTGTCACCGTTTTTTGATCGCCAGCTCCTCCCCGCAGCTGCAGTTTGGGATACGCTAACTCCGCAGCGACCTCAAGGGTTTCCCAGGTGGGAAAACAGACCAGTAACAGGCTGGCTTTTAATGTTAGATATATGGTAAGCTTATGGTGTGTATATATATATATATACTATATTATACTATGATTATCTATTTTATATTCTATTATATTCTATTATTATTGATGAATCTAAGATACCATTTTTTAGTCTTCTTTGGTGGTTCTCACTATTATGCTTCCAAGTTGGAACTTCCAAGTCATAATTCCGAACAGAAAGTGGGGTTTCAACAAGAAGACAGGTAAAACCAACCAAATGAGTTCTTGATAATTTGATCAGGCTATGGATGCCTGAAAATGGACCACTGACCCGGACCCTCATGGATTTTGTGGTCCCTGTTTATAAGTTGGTTCCCATAAAAAAAAAAACATGTATTGTAAACCAATCTATAGCCTAGTTGTGTTCCACCAACTTACCCATCAACAAAAAAAAGGTACAACCCCCCGTTCTTGTTGGTTCAAGAAGTTTCAATGTTTCGCGGACTCTCGGGCCCCGGGCCGACACCAAGAACCGCAAGGTCTTGCGATAGAGGTCATCCGCCGCCCTTTGTTCCTGGCTGGAAGGACCCTTCGTTAGCTGGCAACAGATGCAACGACTTTTTTTCGTTGAAGATGTCTAGTTCTATGATGTTCCCATCTGCTCCATGTATGGAATATTTACCAACATTTGCCCGAACAAAATCACCCAGTTTTGTAGATAAATAGACCATACATGGAGCATATGGGTGCGTCAGGATATATTGAGATGACTATTCACTACACAACCTGAATAGTTCGGCCATGTGGGGATGATTTCCCCGCATCCCAACCATTATTCCGTTGTGACGTAGCGACGTGAGGTTGTTAGAATCAGATGGTCGCTGGTCAAACTGCAGCCAGGAGAGCCGCCATTGCAACCGCCACCTGATTTTGAAGCGACCAAAGTTGTCTTCCGTTTCAAGGCTTAAAATCTGAGCACCGCGGATAAAAGCACCACCATGTTAGTTCCAAAGGGACATTGAACCGCCAAGAGGTCCCATTTGATGTTTCCTGACCCGTGCTGAACGCCCATGAGGGCCATGAATCTGCCCTCTCCAACTTTCCCAGGGCATGCAGATCAGATTCGATTTACCAACATTTTAGGATAGGAACTTAACTTTTCCATACTTTTCCAATATGGTGTTATATATGAGTATGTCTGAAAATGATGTATACCCAAAATCCACTGAAAATGATCATAATGATTGTATGGCCACGGATTGGGGTAAGTACGTACCTTATTTTCAGACAAACCCACATTTTGCTTAAAGAGATTGCTGCAAGCCAGTCATGGACAACACCTTTCATCTAAGCCCCAGACACAGGCCCTTGCGCACCGCCAAGCACCGCGGACCGACTTGAACAGAAAAAGTTGAGCAGAACGGCTGTGTCTTGGGAGATGGCTGAGAAGCATTGATCAATGGATTGGTTTACGTGGTTTGAAAACACTACCTTTACTTTTTTGAACTTCCTTGGGGTGCAGATTATGGGAATCATAGTCCAAATCAAATGAATAACGCCTTGTTAAGGGGTTAGATCGTGGCCAATCAGACTGACAGCCTCCAAACAATGAATTTATTTCTAAGCCGGTTAGTAAGCATTCCCACTTGGGGAAGTATGAAACCACCCAATCTAGTCGCTTCCCAGATATGGGCCTATTAACTATCATCAAGCCTTACTAGTTGGGGTTCTTTCCAGAAACGGGACGTCCTTAGGTTTTCATCAAAAACTGCCTGCGGCCCACTTCAATTGACTAATGGCGTTCCAATCTTTTCCTGGCTGCGGCACACGAAGCTCGACTTTGGCAGATTTTAAGTCTGACAATTGGTATGTTGATCTGATGCTTGATGATGATGCACCAATTGTTCATGGTAAACATGTTACAATTTGATTGTTAAACCGTGCAAACCACGATTGTTCACCATTTTTGATGCTAACATGATCCCCCTGCAGGTCTTTAAAAAGCCTCCGTCACGCGATGTTTGTGAACTAACAAACCATCAAACCTCTGGCAGAGGCATGGCATATCATGGCATCTAGCAACAGACCAGGTCTTTCACGGCTGCAACGGCAAGCCCCAAATTATCATAAATTATCCCAGCATTAGCATCTTGTGTCCAACTTGCACCCCAGCACTTGGGTCCCCCAATTCCATGCCCTCTTCAGGGAGTCAACGCAATGTCTCAAAGTTGCTACCCAAAAATAACATTCCATTGTTAGTTGATGGTTGAAAAACTTGTGAAGAGTGATATCAAGTGATTTTAAAACATGTTTTTGAGGGTTACCCTCCGGTAAACAAACATAGCTATTGAAAATGGCCATTTATAGTGGATTTACCCATTAAAAATTGTGATTTTCCATAGTTTTTCGTAGGTTTACCATAGGGTATATCTTCAAAACATACATCAATTGATGGCTATAAGACAAACCGCTGGATAGTTGGATTTCCAGTCGGCACCCATGTCAGCAAGCCATCACACTTAGCTTGCGGGTCGAATGTGGTAAACCATCCCCCAAATGAAGGCAAATGGGATGCATATACCATCCCCAAATGGTAGGTTTCTTATTGGGTATAAAACCCAACTAATCAATCAGCCAGTATTCATTAATCTGGAGTTGACAGTGCCAATTCTTGTTGCATGGTAACTTGACCCCCACAGTTGAAGTATGAACCTATAGTTTGCAATATCGTGGAATCTGCAACTCAATAATTTGAAGTCGCCAAAGATTGCGCAGCAGAATCTAAAGTTATGGCAATACGGGGCTTTCTTAAATGGTGGATCACAAATGGTAGATCCCCAAAACCATAGGTTTCAATAAAGTGATCTAAGTTGGATGATTTGAAGGGGACCGCCACATGGTGAAACACATGACTATGACATGATATGAAGAATCATGTGGCACAATACTTGAGTATCATTTATGTTTCTACAAAACGATCATATACTTTCGATACACAAAGCATTTGAGACCTTTACTTGGCATAAAAGTGTGGGCTCATCTCAGAGTGCTGGGGTTTTCCAGGACAGCTCACGTCACGACAGGTACTTCAAGCTGTGCACTTGCTGGTCCCGTTGCGGCAGGTTGCCATACCTCAGGCGTCAAGCGGAGTACCGATCGCCCCCCCAACAAAACTGGTGATTGTTTCTGTTTAGCCATCCATTTTCTGGGATGATGATTATTGTCATTATGACTATAAGAGTGAATGATGACGAAGATGACGGAGATGATGAAGATGACGATGATTGTGATGATGATGATGATGATGATGATGATGATGATGATGATGATGATGATGATGATGATGATGATGATGATGACAAAGATGATGATGAAGATGATGATGATGATGATCATGATGATGATGATGATGATGATGATGATGATGATGATGGTGGTGACGACGATGACGACGATGACGATGACGATGACGATGATGATGATGATGATGATGATGATGATGATGATGATGATGGTGGTGACGACGATGACGATGACGACGACGACGACGACGATGACGATGATGATGATGATGATGATGATGATGACGAAGATGACGAAGATGACGGAGATGATGATGATTATGATGATGATAATGACGACAATGACGACGACGATGACGATGATTATGATGATGATGATGACGACGACGACGATGGCGATGAACATGATACTGTTGACCAGTAAGTATCACATGTTGCGTTCAATCTATCCTGCCTGCCTCAACATTCTTAAAATTCTTCTGGCACAACGCACCTTTGGTGTGGGCTGTTTGAATTCGAAGACCTATCGCCATCCAAATATAAGCTGATTTGGGGCTAACATGCTGATTTGGTCGCCTCTTAGAACGTTACATCCAGACGTCATCCAGATTTCTATATATATATATATTCTATATACTGTGAATTCTATGAATTCTATGAATTTCATGTTCTTTAAACGATTTCAATAGCTTACATTCAAATTCTGGCGAGTTCTTCATGTCAAATTCTGGCGCCACAGCATTTTCCCACAGCCCTTGGCCAATTCAACGAGTTGACCCGCTTGGACCCGCCCTCAGCTCCGGACGCATAGCTGGAGGAACCTCATGGAGACAGGTTCAGCCGATTTTGGTGAAGCGGGCAGTGCGAGGACCGAGGAATCATGATTTCATAAGTTCAATACATGAAAAGTATTGAAAAGTCGTGACATAGGGATGGCGGCTTGTTTTATGTTGTTTTCCCATAAACGACAAATGTCAGATTGTTTGATGGTTTCCCTTAAAAAGAAAACAGCCTGGCCGACGTCGTCTCGGCGGCACCTTGAAAACCGAGCCCGCCAGCCTGGCTGTCGACCAGTCTGGTTCACTTTCTCCGATCTCATCATTGCCATCTACAATGGGTTTCATGTCATGGTGGTACTAATAGGGTTTATGGTAGAATGATGTAGAATCTATAGTTACTATGGTTTGTGAACCAACTTCTAACTGGGGACACCCCCTTGTAGATTTTGAAACAGAGATGGAATCCATTCAAGGCATTTGGATCTTCCTACCAGTAGATTCTAGATGTTCTATGATTTTCTTACAGATATTGAACATTGATACTTTGATTTGCTAAATGCCCCCAGAAGACATCAACTGATACACATACCTAAATCGATTCCCCAGGGAAATATTGAGCTATGGCTAAGTCCGAAAAGGGCTAAATGTGGTAAACCCAATGCCATAAACCATCCCCAAGTTGCAGGTTTATCATTAGGGATACCTCTATTTGGGATGATTTTAATCAATCTTATGTAAAATAACCTCCCCTTGATGAACGGGATGGTCTTATATGTTGTATGGCATTGGCTTTACCACATTTTACACTCTATACATGCAAAATAGTGATTCATCACTGGATATAGGGACACCCAATTGTCAGAGAAACCCACATATATTGGCCACAGGTCGCAGCAACATCGACTTCTCAACGCAAGCAAAAAAAATGATGGATTCCCACCGACCAAGCTCCAACAGCACATCCCATGGAAGAATGATCCAAACAAAATGGATGGGGCAGGCTCCAGCTATATCATCTGTCAAATGATTCAACTCTTGGTTTGTGAAGGGGGGTCAGCCGGTTGACCCTCTTTAAACAAATGGGAAAGAGGACCCATGACAAACGGCAGCAGGCCATATATTTAGCGCATGTAGCCTTTGAGTTATATACATCATTCACCAGGGAATCTCACCTAATTCCGCAAGTCCGAGATGTGTGTCTCTTAGAATATCCGGATGAACAGAACAGTTCTCGAAACCAGATGTGGACAGCAAAGGGTGAGGATTAAGAACTGAGAAGTCAGGTGAGTGGTCACAGTTCCCGCAAAGTCATGGCATTGAAAGGTGATGCTGGAAAACACGGCTCGTGACCCCTTGGCCAGAGCGAAACTGGTAGTTGTGGACAATGGAAAAATAAAGTATAAGAAAAAACATGCCCGGAGAAGACGTGCATGTGAAAGTGCGAGTCAAACTCAGGTGAGTTCAGTAACAAGTACTATCAAAAAAATCGACAAGGAGACTTTCTTGAAAAGTCTTTCTTGGTTTGGCACACCTGCTATTTCGGAACTTTAGATTAGATCTGGGTAATTAATGTGCGATACTACGTTACATATCCCATCATGATATCCCCATGAAATGGTTGGCTTCATACCCTCCGGTGCCATTTACATGGTTTTCCTGTATACAGCTGGTGTCATTGTGGTTGTTTTCTATAGCACTTTGTTGCTTAACACACCATATGCATATACCGTCATATACAAGGTTTGTTATAATCCCCAAATGGCAATTCCAGATATATGATATGAAACCCATTTCGATGAATTATATTATTCACCAAGCTGAGACTTGCATAAAATCATAAACT